CATTGCAGGTGAGAGCCAAGTGCATCTTTAATTTGCTTTTGCACATTTTTTTTTCCTCACATGGAAGAGCTAAAAATCAATATGCTTTCAGCCACGAAGAGATATTGAAAGCATGAGTACACGTTCCTCAGTGTACAATTTTGTTTTTCCATTTTATTTTGTACTTGTGTGGTGGTGGAAGGACGTAATTTGTTTGTTCTGTTTGTCCTTATTTTGACACTTGATCTGTGGTTTCACTGTGTGTCACTTTAAGCTAGCTTGAGGCTACAGTGGAGGCATTAAAATCTGATCAAAGTACATGTGTATATATGAACAATGTACATGTACCGTTACTGGGTTGTCTCACTGTGCTTTTGGTACAAAAATATTCTTTGAAAAGTATGTTTACATACATCATCCACACTACTTGTACAGTGTCTCTTGCCCTTTTATCCGTATCGTTTTATCGGTCCCAAGATCTTTTTGTACGTACGTTTTTCTGAATTTAAGAAATTCTTCCAGAATTTCCTTTTCTGAGAACTTTACCAGAGAGCGTTTCCAGAAATCAGATCCTAAAAATTGGCCATTTTCCAACAAATGAAAATCGACCCATCTCCAGAACCACTTGTTTGGATAATTTGATCTTTAGTTGTGGGTAACCTTTTAGGTTAGCTTCATTCTAAGGTTTTACCTAATGCTTATTTGATTTAATAGTCAACGACTTGGTTTTTCAGAATCCAACAGCACTCAAGACTATGCCTTAAATTAAATAAATTTGTGGCTGATTTTTGTAGTCAGTACAGTCTTGTTGAATGGTAGAAACTGTTGACAAAATAGATTGAAAATTTTTGGAGGTACTGTTTATCCTACATGTTTATGTACTGTATGTACAGTATTTGCCACAGTGGTGCAGCAGTGGCATAGGGGTTGGGGAGACTTTCTTCCAAGGGACATATGGTGCCATTTTTAAAGTTATTTTTTAGTACTTGGAAAGCACATTTCAGGAAAGATACCAGCATGTCCCTGTGGAGTCTTATGTACTGGGGTATTTATAATGTAATGGTCCAGTCCTTCTGCAGTTGTCAGGAGGGTGGAGATCCGTCCGCCAATTAAGGAGGATAGGAGGTGCAAAACCAGGCAAAAAAATGGACTTGAGGCGACTGTGGCTTGATTCCCTTCGATTTCTTCCCAAGTGTCAATCAGCAATGAAATTGTAACCAAAAGAAACCAAGAAATAACCCTAAAGAAAGACAGAGGACATACTATTAATGAGTGGTGGCTTACATGTACATCGTACTAAACGTTACATTCGCTATGTTGGTGATAAATTCACACTATGAAATGTCTCTGTACAGTCATAAATTCTCTTACCCTGACATCTAAAAGTTTGCCCAAATTGGTATGAACACTAAAGCCAACGGAAAAAGGGCTTTAGTTATCCCACAAGGATCCATGTTGCTGTGACTGCCAGCCCACCATGGTGCAGGTCTCAAGCGTGGGACTATCACTGAGAAAAGCCCAGAAACTTCTCAGGTCCCGCCAAAATGTAATACAGTGTAAGCAACTTCCGGCCGAAGGGCGTGGCTTAGAAATAATTTAAGTCTGCACACAGCAAGGGACGCTCATACTCGCGCATTGATCTCGTGCAAGAGATCGGCAGGTCAGAGTTCATATTTGCATCAAAAGTAATTGTCTCACTGGGGAAACCCCAGATCCCTACAATAGGTTCATGTATATAGATTAACAAAAAATGTGGACAAACATTGAAATAATGAAAATATCTGAACAAAAAACATTCCCAAACTTCAACATGTAAAACCTAATCTGAAAGATTGTCATTCATCATCCCCCCGATGACATTTGGTGGAGGCACCCCCCCAGAAGGTTGTGCCCGTGAATGCTCCAAGAAATCATAACATATTCTCAGTGCCGACAGGGTTGATGCCAAGCTTGCTTGATCATGCGGAAATTGCGAGGTGAAAGAGGATCTGTGAAAAAAGTGAGGCAGACGACGGATGTCAACAGGAACACTATGTATAAAGCGGTCCCTGCTGAGGAGAGGTCGCGGCGGACAATGTTGCCTCTGATAATGTCAGGATGTCATGTTGTGTTTGCTGTGCAAAAGAGACAGCGCATACGGGTAATGGCATTGCCAAATCTGACTCTTCCTGGCAAATTGGCAGTGGTGATCCCAGCAGTCTGGATGATAAATTCTCCCAATTTCAAATCCATCAGAGGAGGTTAAGCTCTCAAGCTTGCAGATAGTATGAAAAGATCTCAGGAGGCTTTTCTTAAAGTCCTGGGTCCAAAGATTTATTTTATCCCAGGATTTGATATTATGCCGTCAGGGTCTTACAAATCGTTCAAAATATTGTTGGATTGTTAGTCTCGTCTCGAACAACTTTCTGCAAAAAAATAAATAAAGAAATTAAAATAAGAAGAGAATAAGAGGCGACGTTCTTGCAGTGATGTTGTCCAAGAACAATGGGCACCATTCCCTCCCCCGAAAAAGGAGCCAACAATCACAATTGACTTTCATCATAAGAACACTGTTATAATAAAATCCTGTTATAAAGAACAAACTCTGAAAATCCCAATTTCTTGAATTCTTATATTTTTTTTTGTTTTTCCACTCTATAATAAAAAAAAAGTCTTGGTTATAACAAAGTGATTTGTCTTGCCCCCTTAACTTTGTTACAAAAGAAGTTGACTGCATTATTATTTTTTTTTAAATAATGAGAGAAAGGCAATGTCACAAAAGTATATTTAATTTCCTTTTCTTTCAAAGGTGAATAAAAAGCCCCAAATCTAATCTCACCTGTTAAAAAGGCCATAAAAGATTACAGGAAAAAATTCCCAAATTTTTGGCACCTCCCATTATTTAGTATTAATGTAGATACAGTTGCAAATCCATAAACATTGTTTTTTGGGCGGTGGAAAATTCAGAAACTTCTTTATGCAAGTTACTGTAACCTTTTATTGTCTCTCTGAAAGGGACTTCTAAAGCTAAACTTTTTTTTTGTTTTTTTTACACACGTTTAGAAGGAAGGGAATTCAAAATGGTCCCCAAAATTTCCCTTTCTTATGCTTTAAAACAAAACAAAACAAAACAAATCCATTGGGGAGGGGGGTCATAGATGCAAAAGTCATGGATGCCAATGGGTTTCTTAATCTATTGTCATGGAGACAGAAAGAGCATTTGCTTTGAAGCGAAAACTCCAATGCCAGGAGTTCTGTTCATCTGATGGTACTTTGGTACAGACAGTATATGTCCTTCAAGGGATATTGCATCTCGGATGTGTTCAGCTCGGTGGTTCCTTACCCTTCCTGAGGCCTTCAGCAAGGATGAAGAGGATTATTTCACTGATTACGTTCGTTCGTCCTTACTCCCAACCCCCGACATCTATCCCCCCGACAGATTCACTCTGAGCTGCTTGAAATTTGACGCGTCTAAATCATTGAATTTTAATTTGGGAAAAAGTTAGTGGATTGGAAAGAAAACTACATGTGCCACACATAAGCTGCTAGTTTTAAAGTTAAAACTAGTATGGGTAGGTACATGTATGTTTTGTTATGCGTCTGCATATTACACATGTACATTGTACATGTACACGTGTATGTTTGCCATTTATTTATTCTGATCCAGACTTTGTAAACCTTTTTGTAATATTGTGTAAAGCGTTTCGTACTGCCACGCCTACATGTACATTTTTACCAGGCTGTTAGCTTTGACAAAAATACAAGTATCCCTGAAGCATTTGCAAGCATTTAATCAGGAATTTTAAAGGAAAGGCTCATTGATTGTCTAGTTTGATAGTTATAAGAGCTACCGTATTTGAGGTAACGAAGGTATTCCCCCCCCAATTTTGATGACGTTGACACCTATTTATCAGTGATGTAAATGATGCAAAACTACATGTACTTTTTTTTCTCGTTGTGATACATGTAACAAAACACTTCACTTGATTCTGTGAATCAAACATAGATGGTACATTTACATGTAGCACAAGTAACCATATCTGTGCATTTTTGCAAACAAGGCAAAGACAGTCTATTCAGATGTACCAAACTTACCGTTCAGCTCTGGCCCCTGTTTATTAACAAATTTTCTGACATGAAAACACCATAAATTGAATTCTTTCCAAGCCCACTCCCAAACTGATTCCCCTTGCTATTTGTTAAGAGCTAAAGAGCATCTTCCTTTCCAAATACAATTTGCCTGTGCATGAAGTGCACCGTGTGTATTACACTCTGTGTGGTCTGCAAGTCAGTGTGAAAATACAAGGGATAAATGATGAATGACTCTTTAATTTCAGCGACTGGATGAAGAATCCAATCGGCCAGGCGTGGATAATTTACATGCGACATTTTTCTCTCTGGTGATGCGGGGGGGGGAGAAGATTGATGCGGAATCTTCCTGCCTGATAGGGCAGATTAGCAAATCGTGCGTGTGGACACATTCCACGTCACATGTCACTTGTCTGGTCTTCAAATGCTATTTTTACATTGCGATGTTATTGTTATACTGAAAGCAAATCAGAAAGTTAAACAGCATTGTAAACCGGACCCATTATTCACCGATTCTGAGGGAAATATCATAACCATTCCCAAAAAACAGGGGTTACATTCAAGAAATTGCAACAAATTTTGAAATACCATCCCTAGCCCCAACGTTTCTAATGAATTGTTTCTGGATTTTTTTTTCAATTAAATCCAGAGCTAAACAAAACTCCTTGTTCCAAAAGTCTAAAAGACGAAATTTACTGTCGATTTTTTAGGTAAGACAAAGAAACTCAATTGGCAACTTACATGTAGCTTACAAAGGTCTACATGTATTGAAGTTGTATAATGAGTTGCCACATCATAAGATGCGCAAACCTCCGATCAATCGACAGATGGCTTCTAATTAAGGATTGGTAGCAAGTCTATTTTTTCTCCCTTCCAATGGAACATGTGTGAGACCAGTACACGTAGTCGAGTATAAATTGAGTGTCCACCGTCCTCCCTCTTTCCATTTGCAGAGTTGACGGTGAAGGCGACACACACTGCAGATTGTCGACCGGCGCCCAGAAGATAGAGCAGGTACGTACTTGCTTGCAGGCGTGAAATTAACGATTCCCGAGGTTTCCTTCGGGAGATTTATGCTGTCGTTGAGGCGAAGTAGATTGTGTCTGTGTGAAGGAGAGCAATAGTGGCTCCGAGGGAGTGATCTGGCGGTTTTATTTATTCATCAGGGTGAAGTGGTTTCATCAATTCTGTCTCAGCAGGTGTGATGGCTAGATTTTTTTTTTTCAATTAAAAGGTGGTCAAGAAATGAGTTTTTGATACTACTGTGTTTGTCTTTCAAGACTGTACTTTGAAAAAAAAAGGATATGTTTCCTTAACCCAGTTGTGTCTTTGTCTTGGAAATCCTGAAGTCAACTCATAATGATTTGGGAGTGGAACTATATATTAATTGCCTGCATGCCTCTAACTCAGTGCTGATTTAGGTCGGAAAATTTTTTATGTTAAATGAATTACGTAGAACGTGATGTTAGGGTGTAGTTTGTCCTTGAATAATTGTGAAAAGGCACATAAAAACCATGAAATTCTTCAGTAATTAAGATCTGGATTGAAAACTACATGTACAATCAATCTGATGCTTTTGCTGTTTCTTCTCGTTCTTTTCAATGGTTGTTCCTTTATTTTCTTTGTTCTGGTTGTAATTGATTTTTGATGAACTGGTTTAATCAAACGAGTTTTGAATACTTTTGTTTTGTGTTTTTACTACTCAGTGTTAGAGAGTCAGCCTCTCAATGAGCATGCCACTGAGTTCACTGTTCCGCAGCAATGAGATCAAACTCTCCGAGAAGAATGAGGCCAGTGTGGTGCGAGACTGCCTGATGGGGGAGCTGGAGTACCAGATGCGAGAGCGCCAGCACACCCAGTGGCAGCGGGAGGAGGACCGCAAGAAGAAGCAGGGTGTGGCCGATTACAGCTGGCTGGTCAGCACCCCGCCCAAGTACTACGCCCCACCCCAGCTGCAGCTGCTGCAGCTGGAGGAGCTGTGCTCCGAGGTGCGGCCGGCTGAGACGGGGCGGGTCATTAACCGCTTCCGGGAGGTGCTGGTGCGGGAGCCCCGGGTGGAGGAGATCCCACTGCTGCTGAAGGCCGTGATGCACCAGGTGATCCAGGAGCGGCCCCAGGAGGAGACGCTAGGCGAGTGGGTGGCCAAACGGACTACCAGCCTCACGCGGCTGCGCAGCAACGTCCGTGTGTCGCCGCTGAACACAGCAGATGCCGGGGACATGGACAGACAGGTGACCCAGCGCTCACTGAGCATGCCAGAGTTTAGCACCAGGACAAGGACTTCTCAGCCTCGGAGCCTGGCCGAGTTCTGCACAAACTTTGATGACCTTCCAGTGTGACAATTTTTTGCTACAACTGTTCAACATTAAGTTGATGTCAATCTTGTCAGCCAAATCATTTGCCAGCATCCAAGTTTGTTTTTTACCATGCTCCACTGTTTTGACAGGGTAGTTGACACCTTGTTTACAATATACCTCACCAGTTTCTTTGTGATAAAGGATGTCAAACAGCTGTTGTGATGAATGACCAAAAAAAATCAATTTCTTTCAAGAGTGTCCTTGAGGAACTGGGTACTTCAGTGAAGAACAAGGTAACAGCTCTTTTTTTTTTCTGAAAACCTGAAAATGTCCGGGAGAATGTTGACTTTTTTCAGGGAAGTAATCATTGGCGTGATGTCAAAGAATGCATTGTATTTGTATATGTATTATGGATAATAAAGAATCCACGGAAAAGTAATTTACAGAACATGTACAATGTGTTCTGCACATTAATCAGTTAATGTAAAAAAGTGTGCTACAGGAAACATGCATTCACTTCTGCATAAATGAAAAGTTGGGTTAAAGAAATGTCTACTTTGGGACTCCTGAATAGCATATTCTGGTACCGGTAACTACCATTCATAAATTCTTTGTGTTAAATAACTTCTATTTTAAGAATTGATGTGGATTTTGTGTTCTTTTTATGTACAGTATACATAGAGTTGGTGTTCACATTTACAGTGTACTTCTACACAATTTATAACTCAACCTTATATACCGGTAGTCTTCGTAAATGACCAAATCCTCATTTCTTAGGTACATGTGCAGTCACAAGTCCTGCCATACCTAATTTGTATCTGTGAAAGATGAGTCGAAGTGCCTGATCACATCTTATGCAAATCTAAAAAAAAAAAAAGAGTAGTTCGCATGAACCCTTAGGTAATATTCTGTGTTTCATTCTTATTCCCACCAGTCTCTTCAAATCCATCACCTCGGTGTCAAAAACCAATGGCGCATTCTTCACTCTTGATCAAGGACCTCAAGCCCAGTGTAGAGTTACAGCTTGGCCCAGTAGTCTTGAATTTGTATACGTAGACATGAATGCAGTTCGGAAAGATTTAAAGTGCAGACATGCTCTGAACTGACTAAACAAAGACAAGTGCATGCAGTGAAACATTTCCAGGGAGTGTTTTCTGAATAATTACTATCAAAAGACAATACGCCGGCATGTGTGTTCACACTGTATTTTCAGTGTGGTTGGGGAGTTGTGACAAATCTTAAGCTCACTCGGATGGGATTCAAACCCACAACGTCCTGCTTACCTGTGTAGACGTCGGGCGATTTCTTGAAATGCGGTTTTTATATAGTACAAGGAGACCCCATTACTTACATGTATATGCATGTTCCATGTGTTCTTTAACTTGAGGCAAATTTAACATATTCTTACATCCTATATGCATGCATCAGCATGGCACCACTGCGGTACTTAGCTTGTAACTCAGATCAGTGTAATTAAGTGCAGCACTAATGACCTACATGTATGTGGACTTCAAGATGAAACAAAAACTTCTGATTCAAGAGAATGCTTAGAGAGTTCCCTTAAAACGGAAACAAAAGTCCTCATCTTGGTTAGCAGAAGTGGTCTGTCAGTCACTTATTTAGGACAAGAAAAGATAAATTTATGCCATTATCATTGTTTGCCTTCTTTTTTTTATAGGCGATCCATGTTTGAATACGCATGTATATTCATTGATTTTGAACAAGTAGGTGTAACTTTGAACTTTTTAGTTTAATGACTAAAAGTTTATTAAACTTTCTACTGCTGGTGTAAAAAATGCAGCTGTTGTAGGACCTTTACTGCAGTTTACGTTCTATTTGTTGGGGAGTGTACATCTGTCTCACAAGTTTTAAATTGTACTATTCTTGGGCCTGTCCAGACACAAGAAAAACCCACTTCAGACTAAACTTTTGTTAATAAAATACTCAGTCATTTTGAATTTAAATGTGGTATAATATCATAATATTGGTTCCCGTGCAGTTTGAGCCAGACAGGGTTGCAACAGTGACTTCGTGTTTGACATGCTCTGTCAAAAAATGATTGATTATTATTGTTTTCAGTAGTTTTGTTTTTCTTTGCATTTAGGAACAGCAAACTTAGTTCTTTTATTTTGATGTATCACTGATTTTCGGCAGCTGGATAAAAAATACTGACCGTTCCCACTGGTTCTGTCAAGGCTTGTCAGTCAAAAGGGGCTCTGGTGACTTGTGAATCATTTTCACAATGAAGGTATTGATTTCTGGGTTAATATATGCATAAAACTTCGGCACTGGGTATTTTGAAAGATGAAGAAAAATTTCAGCTGTTGGACACTCTCAAAAGAGCTTTAGGAACTGTGGTATATGCACTTTGTACACACTTAAGCATGATTGCTTGTTCCGTAATTGTGGGAACAACCACAGGGTATTTCATCTCTTTTGTGGGGTCCTAATTTCCCAACAAAAGAAATTGTCCCCTTAACCCAGTGAAAGCCTACCCACACACACTCACATATCAGCAAATTTTCTCTTACTATTATCTTTTTAAATCTAAGACTTGTAAGCAAACGTGTAGGAAATAAATACTAAGCATGAATATCAAAACAGACTTTGAAGTAAGAACCCCCTAAAAAAACAAATTTTAAGTTTCAATGAATAAAAGAAAAAATGGGTGTACATTTCAGTCAACTTAAATTATTAAGTGATGGATAATACAAAGGCTGATTTACTCATCCAATTAACAGATCCAGTCAGCAAATATATGTAATTAGATGATTAATGACACATGAAGCATATTTGACATGTATCAGAATACATGTGTATTTTGCCAGTGCCAAATGATAAATACAATGAGCAAAGAAAAAAATCCCCCACCAAAATCAGAGCAAGGAAAGACTAAATTCTTGAAGTACATTTTTCAAATCAGTTTCCTTAAAAAGGGACAGCTTTTATGATGGTCTGAAAAATAGCTCATTTTCTTGAAGCAGTTTTTTTCTTGACGGGCATTTTTTTTTACATTTTGAAACTAGAAGCTGCTACTATGAATAGAAAAGTTGTATCATTGTCTGTGGGCAGTATGTCACAGTTAACTCCACCCCTCAGAAGACAAACGACGTCAAATTAAACAATACCTTCTGCTTGAGAAGACTGTTACAATTATTTTAATTTGTGTGGTTCTGAAAAGAAAACAGCTGGTTAATAATTCAGACTGTTTGATCTGTTGTTTCCTCAGGTTATGTTCTCGGCAGTCAATTTGCCCCAGAACAGTTAGTTGGAATGAGACACAATTCATGATACAGCAAATGGCTCAAGGGAGCAATGATACAGCAGTGATGTCGTCATACATGCACTTCAGTTGGCACCAAGATAAATGCATCTGCATAGTGCGGAATAGGCGCATTGGTCCAATTACACAAAAGCCTTCATGGTAATGGACGTAATCATGTTGATCGTTAATATTGGAAGTAGCAATATCCTCTGATGAAAAAATAAAAAATAAAAAAAATGACAGGATATGCTCTAGAGTTCTTAGGTAACAAGGACTTGAGATTGGGGAGTATTGACCAACACTATAAGTTACTGTTACGCAAACAAGGATTAACTTCAGATATTGGGACTTTGCCATGAGTAAATGTTGTTTCTATATATGTAATTTACATTTGTAGAAGGGATAAGACAAACATTTCTACAAAACGTGTCTAAATGTATACCCAATCCAGAATTAAAACAGTGAGAGACTACTAGGTAAAGGTTTGAATCTAACTTGTATCGAACTTGGGGAGAAAACCATGAATATGTTCACTTTAATTTGAGCAGTCTCTTTTGTGTCGAATTTTTTTTGTTTTACTGCTCTACAACCACCAGATTTGTTAAAATGGCTGATAACGGGCTTCGATAATGCGCTGTTTATAATCTTCAGCATACGTTGGTCTGGGGTCCATCGAAAATATTTGAATGTATTCTCACCAAAATCTGGGCAGCAAATAACAGGAGATCAAATTTTTGAACACAAGGTCCAAATTTCATTTTAAAAAGCATTAATGCTATACAAAATCACTTTATTACAAAAGGTTTTATTAACTTTAATGTCACCATGTGGGCAAGCTGTTTGTTTGAAACGTTCACACAAAATTTTAATTGATTAATCCTACATGTATATTGTAGTTGAATCTTTTCACCCCCTTTTATAGCAGATAGCACTGTGCTCTGTTTTGTGTGGAGCAACTACCATGAAGCAGTGACTCCATACAATGCTTATCACAAGGCTTACTAGCGATGGTGTCACCATGGTAACCAGATTCATCATTACAGATTGTATTTACATCTGTGCAACAAATACTACATATTACTTTTCATCAAAAGGCTAAGTAATTTGTTTGTGTTGCCTTTGGTTCAAATTTACTAACAAATATCTGCAGTTGTTCAAAGTGTGTCCATTTTGAATACTTGAGAGCAAGACCAAGAAAGAGGTGCACCAAAAATAGAGGGCTTGCATGGCTGCCATCTTGCAGGTCAGTGTTTTTTTTTTCACGGCGTATGCACAAAGGAGGTTTCCTTGTGGAATAACGAACTTACCCTGCAAGACTGTGACCATGCAAAACCTCTATAGCCATTTACACATTTTTTGGTAAGAGTCCCAAAAAGCTGGGAATTTGGGCTTTTCAGAGAGCCGATTTTGCTCTCTAAGGTTTGGAGGAAAAAATCTTTTCTGCATATGGTTAGAGGCAGTAGAGTTGATTTTGTTTTCTATGAGGCTCAACAGAAAAAGCATAACAGTGCAAAGAACATTAAACTTTTCTTAATTTATGGAAACTGGTTAAAAATTTTAGGAAAAAGAAATAAAGAATTCCAGAAAAGGAAGGAGCACAGAAATATGCTTTGGAGAGCATTTTTCTCATCAATTCAGTTTTTTAAACAAAATAGACTAAAGCAAGCAAAATGAAAATGTGACAAACTTAAAATGTTGTTTGTCACAGTTAAGAAATTAAGATGAGTGGAACATTTCTCATTTAAATAAGTCTTTTAATGGAAATAAATTAATGTTCAGAGTGCTTTGCATTGAGTTCATCTCCACAGCTGCTTAAAAAAATCCTGTTAAATATTGAACACTGAAAATTTCTTGATTTCATATTGATGTACTACTGGCAATTGTCTCAGTCAAGGCAGGAAGCATGACCCAATGCTTTCGTTGCCATGGAACTATGAGCTGGGGGAAGGGCGAGGCTTGTCTCCACTCTGCCACCATGGCTATCTGGCTCCCTCAAGTCGTTGCTGTAATTCATATGACGTTAGTCGCCGTGCAAAAAGGTTACCACTCTATTCAAGGAATCTTTGCACTGGCTGTGAAACTCAAATGAGCATAACTTTCCCTGCAGGGTACTGCCAGTTATATGAAAAAGTCCTTTTTAATGCAAGAGTGATAAAACTAGATTATTCCCTTGGTTTGTCACAGTATGCACCAACCGCAGATTTCCTGTTCCATTTAAAATCTCGATCTTTCCAGACATCGCACTGACATTTGTGTGCAATTGAATTTCGAGGCAGTGAATCAAAGGTATGTTCGAGGAAGATTTAATACACTGTGAAATTCACACTGGCCAGAAAAACAGATGGAAAGGCCAGGGTAGAATCGAGGGGGAAAATGAAATTACTCATGGAAAGGTTTTTCTTCAAATGTTGACATTTTCGAGGTACTGAAGTCATGCACTGACTCTTGAGATAATATCCTAAAGAAAAAGGTGCACAGTACAGTAGTTACACATTGCCAGGCACATGCAGTCACACGTAAAGATGGACTTGATTCAAGTCAGTGTTTGGTGCATGCCAGATACATAAGAAAACACCTGCAACCATGCCTCTCCAGGTTTTCACCTTTTAAGTCCCTATAAATCAACCTCTACAGAAACATAGAAATCCTTGCATACATGCTGAAAGCTAATCGATCTGATGCTCATGAAACTTGACTGTTTGAAAAGCCTTTTCTTGGTGGGGGGGGTATAGGTGGAAGTTGCAGAAGTTAAAGGAAAACATTCAGTTGTTCATTATTTTTCACAAACTTTATTTGTTCAGTTTTGTTCATCTTAGAAAAATAACACATTAAAGTTAACTTACAGAACGATGATTCCATATTGTACTCACAATGAAATATGCATTAACATGTAATTTGTTTAAAAAAAAAAGGGCAAACCACACCACCACCAAAAAAGAAAAGAATAACTGAATTACCCACAAGGAATTTTCCACAAAAGTTGTCCATGTGTTTATACTGTTTGGGCTTGCTGACTTAACATACTAAAGCATAAGAGATTTGTTGCATGAACTTATGCCTATTTATATAAGACAGACAGTGTAAAAAAAAGTAAAATGAAGATGTAGCATGCCAAAGGCCTATTGACGTCCGTGTCCAATATTCATTTCAACAGAAACATTGAGAGAGAAAAAAAAAGAAGCTCATTTTCATATGCCAACTGCGTAAGAGCTACTCTCCACAGACGTTTTATTGGTTGATTCATCACTGTAGCTCCAGGACGAATAAGCTCAGGCCGTAATAAGCTTCTTGTATTAGATTTTTTTCTCTCCTGGGATATCTGTTCTTAAGATGCGGCCACGCTGCAAAGATTGACCATGAAAATATATCATGTGTCTTGCAGAGTGCATGTTTCTGCCGTGAGCACATTATCGAGTGGCAATTACACGAAGGAGCAGACTTAGAATCAAATTTCCTTTTTTTTTCTGGACAATATCCAGGGAAGTACATGTACTTCAAGAAATGAGAGGAAAAAAGGCTAACAGAGATTGGGCAAACACTACATTATGCCATTGTCTGCCCTTAGCGTAACCATAGTGATGGCCAAATTGTTAAAGGTTTGGCCACGTATTTTAAAAAAGGTAGACGTATGATCAATTTCTACTTTTTTTGTGTGTGTAAACATTTACGGCCAAGTATTTGATGGTATTTCTTAGGAAATATGTTACCAGACATAGCATGTCAGCATCTGGCTGCAGGCTTGAAAATTTGGAACTTTCACCTGATATAAATTGAGACCAATATAATTCATGTTTTATTACACAACGTACAGTGTATATCTTTATTAGTTGAGTAGTCAGAAACTGACATTCAAGTGTCAGAAAACAGATGCCTTACAGATATGTAGCAGTTGGAAACGTGCACTCAACAGATGAAAAACTGGATGATGAAATTCAAGCCAAGAACATGGCGGTTAGTGAAAACAAGTGAACAGTGGCCCAAACTGACCAGTATATCACACAGAATACCAAGCAATGGCAACTGATGTAACTTTCTTTCTGACCTACCCTCAGGTGAACCTGAAAATAGTGCCCTAACATACTGCTGAAAACCTGAAACACTTTTTAAAACCCTTTGGGTATTCCTAAAAAATGACCAACTCTGTGCCATTGCATCGTTTACAATTTTCAACTTTGAATGAAAATTCTGTTCTTCTGTAGACTTGCAATACTGCTATTGAAATGTGAAATTTGCTACATGGTGGCGGAATGAACAAGGGAGTGGTGAGATTTGGCATGGTGTTAGAGACGGGGGAACACATGGCCGAGGGGTTAGTCTAATCCTAGGTACCTCTCGTGATCACATGACCCATTTTTGTTCCTCTCCTCTGATGAGTAGTCTTTCACTGTCAAGGACGGGACCTTTCCGCTCCTGGAAATGATTGATGTGTAATTATAGTTTTAAAATAGTGCCATAGTGTTTAATATTATTAACACTTGATTTCCACTTTAACAATAAAACAGAAAAATAATGCTTGACAGAGGCAAGAAAAGCTAGAAATCAAAGTATCGATCAAATTACATATTTTAGGTGAATTTTACCTTGAGCATGGAAGCTCTTTCGTAACTTGTGCAACCACAAATCCTGAGTAAAAAGAAATCAAAGATAAACTCTGATGAATAATATTTTGTCATTTACAGCTTAAAATAGGTAAGAACTGAGTATGATATACGTACATCTTTGCCTTTATGTACAAAGCATAGAAACTAATTCACAGCAAACCCAGAAAGTTAGCATGACTTAACTTATGAAATCATACGATTGTTAGATAAGTTCCGTTGTATTATTCAGACACTGATTTACCTGATTTTTGAGAAATAATAGCCAACATCACCCACAAGTGCACCTTTCTGACCAAATTTATAGGCAGCTACTAGTGCCAAGCCATCATATGGGAGTGATGTTTTTGCATTGATTTTTCTTAAACTCAAGGTTATGCTCGCAGTGCTGGTGTAGAGGAATTCAATAACACTTTTAGATGCCATCTTAATTGAGGCGTCTGAGACAAGTTTGTTTATCAAAGACAAAACAAGACTTGATATGTAAGGAAGAAATCTTTGTCTTTGAATTAAGAAGAAAATGATGGATCTTTTTTTACTTCATGTATTTAAACAAAGCATTTACTAGTTGATGGTGGGGTGGTAGTGAAACAGTCCTCCTTTTAAAACCATTTGCTCAAAACGATATCTATCAAAATGTTATTTACGTGTATTTGCTCTAGAATTCTGAGCATAAATTATTGCCACTGAGCAACATAACAAATCAGTGGAGAAACAGAACAAGCAGCACCTCATCAGATATTGTGGCTTGTAATTAAGCCCCTCCCCGCAAATCTCAATGCTGCCCCCCGACATTTTGCTTCTCGCACGCAGATTTCTGAAAATATTTCTCTCCAAAGCTCGGGAATTCAGTGGAATGCCACTTCCTCCACTTTAAAAATGACCTTGTGTGGAGAAAAAATCTCTACTTCTATCCTTCTTTAAATGGAATCCTAGCGTGCAAACTCTCCCTAAGCTCACTGGTATGAAGGATTTTCAATCTGTCAAATAGTGGCATGAACATAAACAAACTGGAATGAAATTGAGGAACGAAGCCTACAAAATTAATGGAAAAGAATGCGATTAGGTAAACAGTAAGAAATATCAGCTGGGGGAATGTGCCAACAGACAGGTAAGTTAGGAAAGCATTAGGCCGGCAGCTAGTCTAAACACTCCAGGAAAATTATGTACTGTTCACAACACTCATAATTTATTTAGCGCAAAATTTTCATAAATTTTTTAATTGTGATCTGCTGTAAGTAAAAGACAGTTTGGTTGTCCAATTTGTACTGCGAAAACAACTAATTAGATCCCAAATTTGAAAAGGTGGTCAATAATTGAATATAAATCATTAATTATTCACGTCCTTCCTAACCAAAATATATTCTAATTTACAGCCAACTGTCAGTCATGTTCCCATGGGAGTTTCTGACACAGCAGACATTTTTCAATACATTTATGTGAGCTTTTTCTTGCAGCATTGGTGTTTTAGGGCTAGGTAAAGAGAAATAAACAGAAATGAAGCTCATGTGTATTTATTAACCTTCTATCATTTAGTTTTGTTTTTTTTTCTTGGTTGCGATGGAGATATACCGCTCACTTTATTCATGATCCTACCTGCATGACTTGTTGGGTATTCTGTTGAATGTGATGGTTCTGTTGCTGCAGTCTTTGCACTTGAAGTACCGGAGAGTCGCTTCATGTCTCGTCAGGGGGTGGCTTTCGGAGGCGCACAATGACGAGGGTGTGAACCAGGTGTAATCACACTACATGATGGAAAAAATGGGAGAAAAAACTGGTGTTTAGCCACAGAAGACATTGTGGAAACAGCAGGTGCACCATGAAAAAAAGAAGAAAAACTTGAATAGAATTTGAATAAAACCATTATGTGAGAGCTTTTTTTGCCGATAGAAATTATTCTTTGCCTAGACCAGGTCTAAGAAGTTATTATTTACTGAAATTTGACAGATCGATTCTCACTGGCACATTCTGCATATCAAAATTCCCATGGGACATCAAGCCCCATGTAAAGTGATGTGGTGGATGTTCTTTGCTTGATTCAATCCCACAAAAATCCTCCAACACCTCCAAGTGGATTTCAAACAATTTGTGAAAGTTATAATGCTTCATTCGGCACTATACTCTCAGATACACGATTTCACAAAATGAGTCTTAAGACTATTTAATTTTGTATCAAGATTGCATTAGAAAGAGCACACTGAGTTTTGATGTATCACTCAGTTTGCCATCATGAGAAAACTGAACAGTTTGATGATGGAAACATCCAAGGTTCCCATACTGATTTCTGTCATGCAACACTCTCTCAGCAGTCATTAATACTAAAAAGTGGTTGTCATCTTCCAACTCCTTCTGTCACATGTCATATCACATGGTTTCAATTTGGCACCCTCTCACCTTCTTGCAGGACACCACTTTACATTTTTTCTCCCTGATTGAGTCCATCATGTTCTCCAGACGTTCCTTCTTCTCCAGCTGCTGGAAATACTGCTCTTCCATTTCTGCTTGTACCTACAGACACAAAACCAACCAAAACAGCCAATACTCAACTGAACAATCAATCGGTTTCTAAGCTAGGCATCAATTCAGTATAAATATCAATTCACAAAGCAGCAGGAACAAAGAAATTCCCTTCCGAAGAGATTATTTTAGTACAAAATGTAAGTTGCCATTGAAAATGGTCAATTTGCGTTGGTTTTCAACCTAGGGAATTCTCCCCAGAGAAAAACAGCACCATTGTTTATCATTTTGTTTTCCAACCTTCTGTTTTTCACCCTTATCGGCCTTTAGGAATGCATGCATGTAAGTACCATTCTGGTGAGTTTGGACATCTGTTCTAATTTTCGAATTCCATCTTCTTGCCAAAAAGGAGGGAAGAAGATTAAATTTACATTTTAAAATCTAAAGTACTGAAGACCAGAACAAGGAATATACAAAAGGAAAGTGTGTAAAAATATTTCTTAAAATTCTATTGACTTATAGGTTTGGACAAAACAAAACGTTTCTACCTCAGCAAGCAGCCCTGAGTGTTTAGATTTGGCGCCAACAATTGCCTTTAGCTCATCTTGGCTCAGGTTGACCTCTTGACCCAAGAACGACCTCTTCTGTTTTTTCGCTGGTTGCCCAGCAGACTCTGCATTGCTGGGGTCTGAATAAAGATCAATATAGAACAAAATAACTGAAATAAAAAATTTGAAACCGACAATATTAATTTGTAACTTGTTCAGTAACATTACTGACATTTAATTTCAAATTTTGTTTCTCAAGCGTTGAGTTAGCTTGAGATTTCATCTTTCGGGAAAATTAAAGAGAAATCTGCAAAATGTAATTATTATATAATTGATTTACTTTTTGAAAAATTTGAATTTCTGTTTATGTTTTACTCAAAAAGTTGTGATTCAACCGATTATGTCCAGATGACAATTTCTGATGTTAATAGTGAAGCTGTGTGGTCAAAACCTCTTGAAAGGTCTTTTCAAATTTAGCCAAACTACAAACCTTCCAGTGACCGATTCAGGTCTTCCTCCACCCTCCTCTTCACTGCCTTCTGCTTCCGTGGTGACAAGGATCCCTTTTTCCTCCCTCCAACCTGGTTGGGGTCTGCCTTCTCAATCTGTCCCTTGGATCGGACGTGAGCTATTGCATTCCTTCTAGCTTCTATCGCACTGCGACTTTTTCCAAAGTTTTGCAGTGGAGGTGCACTTCTGACAAAAACGTTTTTATTCTGAGGACTATCGGCCTCAAAGACGATGTCATCGTCCTCATTAAAACCACGTCCGAGGACAGGAGCCTTGTTCTCTGTGTCACTTGGGGAGAATTGGCCCTTGTGTTCAGTGTTGAGTTTCTGGCTACTATTCCTGCTGGTGGGTCTTTTGTTGCTTTCAACCAGACAAGGTTTTGAGAGAGTCGACGATGACAGGCTTTTATGGCCTAATGATCGAGACGCTTGGCGGGCACGCATGTCGTCTTGATGCTGCTTCAAGAGATCCTTTGCAGAGATGGTGGTGATTGGCTTGCTCACTGTGAGAAAAATAGAGTGCCCTTTAGTTTCATCACTTGCCAATAGAGAGTTTGCATAGCTGCCATCTTGCAGGTCTGTGCTTTTATTCCATTGGGTATGCACAAAGGAGCTTTCCTTATGGAACAAAATAACTGTCTTGCAAGATGACCACCATGCAAAGCCTCAATAATAAGGTCAAAGGCAGGTCAAACTCAATGCCAAGGGGCTAGTTAATACTTCAGGCTAGGTCATCACAACTTTCTGCACAGTATAAAACTGCTGCTTGAAAAATCAGGTTATTTTTTAACTAGATTTTAATAGACAAGCTTATCATTAACAACATAATGGCAACTGCCTAAAGATCACAGGCATAAAGTCACAATTTCACAAAGTTAAAGGGTTGACTTTCAGTAAAGGTTAAAAGATACCAAATATGTCTCTTTTTCTTAAAGTTTGTTTCAGAGATGTGACTATAGACCAAAGACATAATGATGCCACATTTTGTTCTGCGCTCCCAATGGGAGCAATATGGATTTTGTCACTACCTGGCTCCCATAGGAAAGCATCCACACATAAAGTGTGACATCACGATGTCCTAGGTAAAATTCAAATTTACCTTCTTCAACTTTGACCATGTGACGAATGAGGTTCTGAGATCCTAAGGATGGCACACTCAACATTTCTTTGCTGCAAATAAACAAGCAGATTAAATTGGAACTTGTTCACTGTAAACAAACAGTTTCATTTGTTTAAAAAAGAAACCGATGAAGTCATTGTCAGTGTCGAAAACTTGTATGATAACGTTGCCCATTCCTGTTTTGTTCTAGCACTTCTCATGAAATACTTTTCCCCGAAATGCCATGGGTAGTTTATTCAAAAGTAGGTTTACACAAAGAGGAAAGTACACAGAAAAGTCAAGTGTGCCCAATTTAGGAGACTACTGGATTTATATCTCTGGCTTTCAACAGCCTTATCATAATTTGTGGGCATGCAGGGAACCATTGACAAAAATAGTTACATACAAGACGGCAAGGCAGAGACTATGAACATGACATAAACGAGAGTAACAACAGGATTTCCCCAAAATATTCGTCTAGAGTTGTTCTCAATTGGGACTGTGCTGTGCAGGCAGTTTTTCAAGGAAAAATCTGTGAGGGACATTTTCTCAGGTGTTAAAAAGTTACACGCCAACTCAGCTGTCAACTTACAATTGTGGGTTAGCCCCAGACATTTTGACCAGTGTGTCCTCGCTGTTCTGGTGTCCGTGCAGTGTCAGGATGCTCTCTCGAGCCTCCTGCTCAATCTCCTTGGCTCCCTTGACCCCCAAGTTCTGCAGGGTCACCTTGGTGTCCTTCTTGCCTCTGGAGCTGGACGTTGAACCACTCTTGACAACAGAGGCACTTTTCCCGAGAAACAGTACGAGAGAAGAGCTTTTAGTTTTTAGCATGGATGATAGCAATTACCTAAACCCACCTGGGTGTATAAAACCTTATCTAGTAATTGGAGCATTAAGGACTGTCAGGGGCAGTGTTTACAAAAAATGATACAGAGCTTGTGTGCTCTTGCCTCTGTGGGAGAAGAGCCGAACAAGTCTCAGATGAGCAAAGCAAGGGAGTCCGTGCATATACAAATGCAGGCGCCAAGCTGGTATAAAATGAAGGTGAGTGAAAGGCATAATCAAATCAACTAGATGACAAAGCATTTATATTTAATGCAAATTAGGAAAGGTTTTGTCTGAGAAGAGTGAGGTAATCGGGCTTCCTGTTCTTTCATTGTGTTGTAAACTTTGAAAGGGAGGATTGGGACTGGGTTAATAGTAGTGTGACCTCTGACTTCACTGGTTTAACCGGGTTCCAACGCCACAAATTAGGAATCAAAAAGCATTCTAGAGAAGTACTATGCACTTGCAGTGATGGCAAGTTTAAACTTTAACCTCATTTCACCCAATGGTCAATTTTACCTGGACGCCAACAAACAAATGTCTCTTTGACCACTAGGCAAAATCGAGCTGCAGTTGACTGATGGTTGTCGATGCAGCTCAGCTATTGTTGATACATTTTCATCCCTGAAGGCACTTTGTATTTGCATGGAATGCATGCAAGATAATGGTTACCTGACAGGATTGTAAGTCTGTCCACCATAGATGATGTTTGTTCCAAGTTTTTTCTTGAAGGCTTTTGGCTGAACCCCACCATATCTATAAAAAAATTAAAGTAATATTTATTTCTATTTTTCCGAGTTAAACACAAAATACTTCAGAAGAACGAATAAAGTAATTTCATCAGATGGAGCATGGATAGTATCATTGTAAGTCCAATTTTAGTCATGGCATGTAAAAGAAATTGTACAGGGAACATGTCTATTCAAAAAATTTTCAGACATTTCCCAATACTGTTAGTTGATTCTTATCAGAAAGTTTTTAGAACAAGTCATACCCAAAGTTGATCATTATTCTGTCCCTGAAGCTCTTGAAAAGTGCTGGATGCGTGGAAGGAGGGAAACCGAGATGGGGAAATCAGTATAAAAACTTGTCACAATTGGAATAACTTACGATGACTGTAGATCACTTCTCTTTGCACTGTGCTTCTTATATTCCGACTGGACGTGATACTGGCAAAACTCACTCACAGCCCTGACCAAAAAAAAAAAAAATTATGTGGTATTCCATCCAAAAAGTTCAAAATATTTTAGGCGTGCTGTGATTCCTACTTACATTGAAATATTACGTATGGCATTATTTCAAAACTGAATGTAAGTTATCAATACAATATTTATCTTTTTGTACATGGGTGACGAGGGAGTTATTGTTGGTCTAAGAAAAAAAACTGTGGACGGTTAAAGGCTTATGGCTTACATGTTGACGACCATAGAGCAGGGCTTGCCGTCCTTCCGTTTACCGCGGCAGTGACCAAAGTCTTTGGATGTCCCAAGAAGGAGCAGCTTGTCTGGATGGTCAATGCTCAGTGACACACCCTCGTCCTGCGTGTGTGACAAAGACAGGTTTGTGATTATTGGATCAATGCAGTACCTCCTAAGGGCATCTTCTTCCTCAAACTGTCAAAAGTGACAACATGGATGGCATTGGAAACTGTCCCAAGTATCCTATTCAAATCATGTGAGCGTCTTGCAAAGTAGTTAACCAATATTTCAACTGAATGTGCACAAAACTGTAGCCCATAGAAACCTTTTGACAGTGTTTGCAGGGGTTGCGCCAATTGACCCTCATTTTCAACTAACTTGTTCAAGAAGGCACCCTAGACAGAGGTTTAATTCACATATTTCTACATACGTCCAAGGTTTAAATTTTGAGGTGAAAGAAAAATCCAACCTGGCCATTGTCCTTGGGAGGCATGATGGACGCGTTGAGGAGGCCAATGACAGATCCCTGGACTGTCTTCCAGTGATTGTCGTGGGCTTTACTGAACAAGAAGATGGTGATTGTCTGATCGCAGACGCTCAGGTCGGACAACTTCCAAATGCTAAAGGTTTTCCCCTGGCGAAAGGATTTGATCAAACTGTAGTTAACTCTTGGTGCAGCACAATCTAATCTCAAGAGGCGTATGCTCGAGTTGTTCAGATGCTTGCTTGGTTTATTGTGTGTCTCAGATGCAGGGGTACCACCATATTACATGTATATACATGCTACGTGGGCAGGGCAAAATGGGGTACAATGATTGATATACAGCAGGTGGGGCCAATATGGTCCAAAAGAGGGCAGTGTTGAAAGGATTTTCTAATAAGGGTACTGTACTGGTACTGGGCAGAGTTGTGGTGGTCAAGAGTGGACATATAAGAATGCAGGGTACTACAGCGTATTTACTTCAATGGCTCCAAATTTATTGCATATCCCAAATGTTCTCAACACAAGAAACATGGATGCATCCTGAAAAGTGCGGCCATTAATGTAGGCAGAAGATATCATCTAAGTAAAGTATCTGCACTGGTCACAACAGAAGATTCTGCGGTTAGAATATTTGGTCTATGAGTACGAGTCAATTGCATGACTCATTTGGTTGTCACAGATTAATGCACTTCCTTAGAGAAATTCCTGAGGTCCAGCGAGAAATTAGTATGCCTACCTTGCTGCTGGTCTTGGGGGGCAGCTTGGACACGATGACCCCCATGGTGACCCAGTCACCCTTATTTGGCCCAGTGTCCAGGTACTTCTGGAGGATGGAGAGGCGGAGCATCTTACGCCCCTCCATCATGGCATCCAGCCTGGCGGAAGACACCAGAGGATTCCTTGCAAGGGGACAGAAAACAAGGATAATGAAGGTGATTTTGTCAAGGATAATATATCTGATAAGAAGTAACAATAAGTGGTCACTTGAAGTATGATAGAATTTGTATGAACGGGATTGGATGATTTTCTTTGATTACTTTACAGCATCTCATTAGAATCTCTTCCTTTATACATCCAAAATCTTTTTGAGAAATTTGACTACTTTTACCAATTTTTTAAAAAGCCTTAGCATACAATTTTGTTATCATTATTTGGGTTTTTTCTTTCGTCTGTATTTGTTTGATAGATTGAAGTGTATTTGTATTTTTCAATGAATGAATTATAGTAACATTGAAAAGATTTTAGAGTCTTTAATATGCCAGGGTGGAAGTTTCATCCTTTTCGAGAACCAATTCAATTTAATATCATTTCTGGTCAAAAATATGTCTTAAACCTTCGGGCAGAACTGTAATGCACAGCTTTTCTTTCAAACTTACAGAATTCGGATTTGCGAGTATCTATTAGTCTCCACATGCCCGTCTTCTTTCTTTGCAGTCCCTGTGACCGGCCCCCTGCCTCCGATGCCATTTCCCCTTCTGCCTTGGGCTGCGCTGGTAAGTTTGCCCAAGGATACTGAAGATGATGAAGTGGGCGTGGCAGATGACTTGTGGGTGCGGCCGTGGGCCTCCAGCTTCAGCTTGCTGTGGTAGGACATCCCGCAAACATTGCAGTTGTGGGGCGACTCTTTGCGATGCTTGAACATGTGCACGTCCAGAGCTGTCCGCGTGTCTAAGAGCTCGTGGCACAGCTCACATTTGTAAGGGCTCACTAAGTACCAAGGGAGATAAAATACTGTAAAATCCAGAGACCTATTTCAAAGACCTTACTCAGAAAATAAACGTTCCACGGTCAGTTTATGTGTTATTAAAAAACCTAGTCCAGAACTGCAAAAGTCGCTACAAGTTTCTTCCGTTAGTTTGTCCATGAAGTCAAGTTCAGACATATCCCACCTTTATCCGGTTTGCTGGTGGTGTTCTTTGGTGTGTGGGCGACTCTCTTGCTACTTTTTCCAAAGAGGGTGCTCTTTTGCTCCGTTGTCGATCTCTCCTCTTCATCCCAATCCTCCCAGTCACCAGGGTTGCTCAGCGTTGGAGTGTCAGTAAAACCTGATATCAAAAACTTCAATTTATTCCCCCAAATATGCATTTTTAGCTGGTTCTCATACACTGTTAATCTCGTCTTCCTTTTTGGAGATAATGTACAACTGAAGGAAAGTATACCACTTTGGCTCGATAGTAACAGTGGAGCAGACTGGTTCCCTGTCCATCCACTGTGTTTTCTAACAGAAGGGCTGGTCTTCATCTCTTTAGACACACTTGGTCGTCTTTGCCTGTGCTACTATCGATGCTTGCCGGTGCAGGAAAATGTTATGCGCGTTACTCTTGGACCATATTGAACCATCTGATGCGCAGAACCCTCCCTGCCTAATCAAGAATATGGTCTTGCTTACCCATGGTCATGAGTGAAACTACTGCTATTCAAGTGTGTAGGAGTATGGGCCCCAAGATGGACCAAGAGAGGGCGCAATTTTAATAGCTTCAGAGACTACTTTGGTACTAATAACAAAATGAACACTCCCGATCAGGATGGCTCTTTTCAACCAATGAGAGGGTGCTTCTGCTCAAGGCGGATACTCGTGTAAATATGAATAAAACCCTTGAATGCATCCTTAACTGTAGAGTACTAAATTTAAATAAGTGCTGGATCATTGGTTTCATAAACAAGTTTATTTCTTGTTTTGCATATTTCTGATGTTTTGACAGAGTAAACATAGAGTATATTAAAATAAGACCCTTGAAGCATTCAGTCGTTTGTTATACCTGCCATAGACCCAATCTCCTCTGTGCTGTATTGCCTTGTCTCTCCCAAGGCTTTGCTGTCTGCAGCTGCCGTCTTCTTTTTAGTGACTCGCTTGACCTCGACCGGGACGGTGATGGCTTCAGAAAAGGTCTCCTTGGGTTGGTCTGTCTGGCTGACATCTCCAGAGCTTTGCTGCGACTGCAGTAACTTCATCTGTTCCCTCAGTTGTTTTAATTCATCTGATTAGCACATGGGGCAAAATTGACAGAGAAACGATGTTCCTCTAACTTTCATGGTCAGTCAAGTCAACTAAATTCCACACAATCAGTGTGGCATTTTCAAAGTTATAAAAAATAAAAATTGGTTCCATTTTCAGTTTCACAGCATCTGTCCCGTATATTATTTGCTTGCAATCTGGATTAATATTCATTCTCCTTCAAGATAAAGGTCATAGCTTCCAGTTGCTTGATAATAATTTGGGATACTTCATTCCATGCCCTTCACTGTTATCAGAGAGCATAAATCCTACCTTCAGAAATGTACATTCCTTACATTTGAATTTCTACTTACTTGTATTAAAATTGCAGTAATCAATTCATTTTAAATCTTTTATTGAATTTTACCGTATTCATTCTGAGCACGGTTGAATCGTATTTGAATTGTACACAAAAACTGCTTACCCATCAATTGCTCCTTGCTCTTGCTTTCATCTGTTTCTTTGTTCTCGCCACTGGATGACCCCTGGCCCTGTGTTGATGATGACCCCTGTCCCCGACATGACCTCTGTGAGCCCCGTGAAAATGTCTTCTGACTCGGGGATGGCCTCTTGGTGTCGTGTGAACTGCCGGATGAAATTTGACTCAGTCCATTTTGGGTTGAATATTCCATTGATGGTGTCAGCTTTCTGATGCCAGACAATGAGGACAACAAAGTGTAAGGGTTGGACTCCTCCTCTTCATCCAGAAGAGCTGTCAGGCTGTCCAAATCGTCATACGCATATTCTTCATCAGACATTGTGGATAATGGAGCTGTAAAAGGAAAAGATCAGAAGTCGGCTTGAATGTTCATGATTAATCAATAAGCACAAATCCATGAAGTCTCATGGGTGCAGGCCCATTAAATAAACCCCAAATGGCTTGCACAGACCAACAAGTCATGATTTGCATGCTGTCCAAATTCTCTGCAACTGTGACCCCTGTGCACTGAAGGGTTTGCAAAGAAGGTTGGAAGGCCAACTTTGTTGACAAAAGTTGGGCATTCTCCAAGTTGGCACTCACAATGACCCAACCAAGTTAGGGCAGATGACAAAGTTGGGACACAACAGCATTGCCGTGTGTGCTGGCTTTGTGGAATCCAAAACCGCCTGTTGGCAATGCTTAATGCATAGTGCCTCATAGAATTTAGAGATAACATTATGGCTGCAGTAACTAACTTTAGGTAGCCACTACACTGAAATCATATCCAGCCATTAAATCATATGGTTTTAGTTAATGTTTTGGCAGTGGATATTTGACTGTGAAATGGTCCTAATGTGCTTTTACTTTTTCAGTTTGTATTCCAGCATGGTTTAAAAGGAAGAAGTCCACAATTGCATGAAGTCTGAATTCTCCCATTAAATAAGAATTCACTGTTCACAAAAATCACTGTAGGCCCTAAGCATGGAATCAGACAAAGATGTAAAAATACATCCTAAAACACTATTCATGCTAACCATGCTGCATGATCAGTTGCTGTGCCAGTGACACTGACAGCAATTGCATTATCAGAAAAGGAAACCAGCTGAACATCCACTGCAAAAAAATTCCTCCACAGCCACGTTCATGAATCATGAAAAAAATAGAAATAGGCCTAGCTAGGGCCTACCCTGCAATGTACTGCATGTATTGTGGGGAATCAACATACAATCGTGTTCTTACAATAACATTTAACAAATATATCTTGCACTGCAATTTGGCCAGTAGGCCTAAATAACAAACTTGAGATTCCTTGAGATGGGTCTCATTAAAGTTGGCAAAGTTTGCCAACTTTAATTTAAACTTGGGTTTCTGTTTCCTATTGGAAATGCTGGAGTACTACTGGGGGTCAAATCACACACACACACACACCCACACACACATCCCAACATCTGGACATCCGATCACCATTCACCAGTGTGTATTTGCCTGCAACTGGGGACCCCCTATTGTTCCTCTTTTGTTTGTACTTTTTTTAGAAGACCACCCATATGTTTTGTACACAGTTGTCAATAGGGGACCCTCTGTCAATTGGGGACCTTATTGTCCTCTATTGTTCAGGGTCCCCAATTGAATGCAGAAACAAACCCACACACACATCCCAACATCTGGACATCCGATCACCATTCACCAGTAATTTGGGGGCTTTTCTTTCAGCAGTCCAGCTTCATCGTTATCATGATGTCGTTTGCTTGAATGTTATGTCAAAACAAACACCAAAAAGAGTGTACAGTGAAATCGTATGGCTACATCAAAAGGTTTTTCATCAACTTACTTGTCTGATGCTTGATCACTGAAATCAGGATATGATTTTTTAGCCTACATGTAGGTAGGCCTATTCTGTGAATATGAAAAAGATGATCATTGATACTACTTGTACTAGTCTCGGCTTTCCGAATTTCCCGCTGGCGCGCCAAATTTACTCATGTGAATAGCGCCACCAATTGGTAGTTGCTAAAACATGCCTCTGGCAGCCTAGCGCCCCCAATTGATAGACCAAAATGCAACAACTTTCTCGTCCCGGAATCAGAAGGCCTACCGCCGAAAAAATTCAGAGAAAATGAGCAGCAAATAAGGTTAGATTTTTTTCATACAAGGATATCTTTTCACGTACTGAAACCACGGCTGTAATAACGAAGCTATTATAATGCACACTGTGTGCTATTTTTTGTTGTTATCTGACCGCAGCAAAGAAACAACCGACATGACTGACCTGTAACTTTGTCACGTCGACAGCAGAGCAAATGAAAAAGTCCACAACTGAGAACTTTCGGTTCTGAAATGGTTAGCTGGCCCTTTACGTTAATGGTTAGACACTGTTTTTCAGAAAAACTGACCTTGATGTAACTTTGGAAAAAACTTACTGAATGTCCAGCTGCCAACAAATAACAGGAGGCTGTGTCATTCACAAAATAATAGCAAAACAACAGGGCCACTGAATTAAAGAAAAAAAACAACTTGGAAAAACCAAACTCTGAAACCTTTCTCATGGCATGAGAGAGCTGGGATAACTCCATGACTTATCAAGTTGGGTTTAACTTGTAAGACCGCTATCTTCCATCTTTCATAGCGCCACAGGAGATGTAGTGATGGAGGATGGAAACATTGAAAAGGGTGTCATTGATGAAGGCAGAGATAACGCTGCCTCATCCATGGAGGATACAGCAAACAAGGACAGTGCATCCTCTGACTTGGGAAGCACATCTTCAAATGATGATGCTCAGGATAAAGAACTGACAGTTGACCACCTCCATCATGGAGGGGATGATGCAGGAGGAGTTGAAAAGACAGCTGAGGGCTCATCACTTAGTGTTAAAGAGGAGGAAGGAAGCATTTCAGATACCTGTGTAGTCAGTGAGGCAGGAGGAGATGTTGCCATGGTGACAGGAATGATGACAAATGACAATGGAGTCAACAAGACAGAAGAATGGACTCCCAATGTACCTAGAGCAGATCCCAAGGATGGTAGCACCAAAGAGTCTTCACGAGACCAAGAGAGTGAATCGGTGCCTGACAACAGAGGAGATCAGACACAGTCTAAGAGTGATGATGCCTCAGTTGATGTCGACTCGGGAAAAGTTTCAGAAATGCCTCAAGCATCCCAAGAAAAGGAAAATGTTGTTCAGTCACCTGTTGAAGCAGTAAAGACAGAAAAGATCTCAGCAGAGGAGACTGATACAACTGAAGAGGTGGATGTCTCAAACCACAACCATCTGAATTCCTGTGAATCTGTCAAAGGTAGGAGTGATGGTGTTGAAATGCCAACGGATGAATTGAACAAGAAAAGTGCAGAAGTGACAGAGTCAAAGAAACCTGTTGTAATTTTCCCTAACCCTGAACCTGATGCGAAAGTGGTTGAGAAAAATCCAGGGGTGGCAACATCACCGAAGGCAGCCAATCAAATGGATGGAGCAAATGCCAACAACAATGCCAAAGGTCAGAGTTCAGGGTCAAACAGAGACAACAAAACGTCAGCAGGGGATACCAAGTCTGCTGCTTTGATTAACACCAAGAGTGTTGAAAAAAACAGTTCAAAACCAGACGCACCCCCACCTGAAATAAGGGAGCGGGCTGGTAAGTCGTACTCTGCTCAGAGATCAGCTAACCGTGGCAGTCGCAAGAGCGGAGTGCCAGATCCCAAGTCCCAGGACAAGCAGAGCACACCGAGACCGACTGAGGGTGATGCCAAGATGGAGTCCAGAGGGAGAGCCAGCCAGGAGGAGGCCGTGAAGGCCAAGGGAAAGCAGGCCTCCAATCAAGGCAGGGAGAAGACTGCCAGTGGGGGGAACCGGCCCAAGGAACCGGACCGAGAGAGCGAGAAGAAACACAGTGATCATCGAAGGAGAGACAGGGATGGGACGAGAGATGGCAAAAGAACAGGGGAGGCAATCCCGGCAGTCAAGAAGCCGATCAAGACCAAAGAGGAGATTGAGCGGGAAGAGGCGGAGCAGAAGAAGAAAGCGGAAGAGTTGAAGAGAGCTGAGGAGGAGAAGAAGGCCGCCGAGATGAAGAAGCAAGAAGAGGAAGAACAGGTAGGTTTCAGAGCGGTCAAGCTGTCCAATTTACAATTTGCAGAGACCTTCATGCTTCGGAAGAATAGTTTGAAAAAGTATAGGGAAAAGACTGCATTATGTTTAGGCCTGATGCCAGTAAGTAGTTCTTGTTTGCTGTATTTACAAAAAGTATCTCTAGACTTTTGAGGTGCAAGGGTAGGCGAGTTTTGACATAATGGGGATGTTCATTTGCTGTTTTAGGAGTGCAAATTGGAGATGAAACATTTCAGTCAGGGATAGCATTAGCATCCTTGGACTGTTACGCCGATATTTTTCGGATGTGTTTTTTTTCAGCGTCTTTTAGAGGAGGAGAACACAAGGCTGGCTGAGGAGGAGCAAGTGAGTGATAGCGCTTCTACATTTGAACCATGTTTGAATATGCTTGTGAAAGATCTCAATAATGAGCACAGTCACCCAGCCATTCCAGACCACTTTTGGCAATTGCTGCGGCTGTGACTACAGTTCCTACTTACGGCTGTTGCCTTCTCCATTTTGAGCCGCAAATCCAAACCAGGGATCCACAGTGGTACACAGTCATTTCGAGTGTGGTGCAGCCGAGGGACGGGGTGTATAGGTGTTTCCTATTAAAGTGGCTTTCTTTGAATTAGCGCACCTGCTTTTATTTGTCATTTTTGTACATGCGTAAGGTGAACAGTTTGGGTGCCTTGCTTTTTCTCAGTTGGCTGCAAATTTTGATAGTTTATTTGCGTACTTTGAATGGCTGAAAGATTCTGGCCACAAAATGTGAAGGTGCATGCATGATTTGCATAACGCCGTTAGCTGAAAACTTTTCTCTGCTTTTGTGATTTGCGTGCTTTTTCCAGAAGCATGCGGTAGAGATTTCCACCGAGGCTAATGAACGTAAACAGGCCAAGATGGCACTCCGAGCCAAGAACCTCGCTGCTGCAGGTAAATACCTGACAATTTGCACAGGTTGTCCCACAAAATGTTTGCAATTTCGTCGTCTTTAAGACAGATTGTTTCACTTTGCCATGACCACAAATATCTTTGTGCAGAAATGTAATTACAAATAAAGTCCCTTCCAACTCCACTGAGATGTGTACAGTTCATTGTACCATTTTTCGTGCATAACATTGTCTTAGTGTATTCCAAAATATACCTCTGAGATGACTTTGTAAAAGATTGTCCTTGATTCCTGAATGTCAGAATAACTCTGTCCTCTACAGCTGAACGTCCCGATGAGGATTTCTTCGTCAAACTTGACTCCAGTATGAAAAAGAACACAGCATTTGTCAGAAAGTTGGTGAGTTACTGATACCCCCCCCACCCCAAGCAGGTCAAGACACAACTGCAAAAGTTAGGGTTGGCGTGACTTACGGAGCGTTTTCGAAACGAGTGGATTCTGCTGAGACTTTGGTTTTGCTGGTTCCATCCATTTTGAACCCATATGTCCAAGCTCTGACAAATTTTAATATTTAATTCCTGTTTTCATTATTTTAGTACGGTTCTAAGCAGAATTTGTTTGGAATATTTCTAACAGCAACTATTGGTTCAGTGACTAAAGATTTTAATAGTAACCCTCGATGTAGGGGATAAAAATAAAGTTCGTGACTTTCTAAATTAGAAAACGATGACCGAGCAGCAGCGGGACTCGCTGACGTCAGAATTCAACGGCCTAAACCTGACAAAGTACGTGGGCGAGGTTGCCACGGCGATCGTGGAGTCCAAGTTCAAGATGGCCGACATTAGCTGCACCGTGCACATCTGCTCCCTGATGCACCAGCGGTACGCGGAGTTCTCCGCCCAGCTGCAGCTGGCCATACAAAAGTGCCATCCGGCGCAGGCCAAGAAGGACGACCCGAAGGAGAGCAAGAAGGAACCGGTGAGAGGAGACGAGATGCCGGACCGAATAAGCTGAAGTTTGACCCTCCCACATCCTTCAAAATCCACCTGGAAGGTTTTGAAGGATTTTGTAGGATTAGGAAAGGCTGTGCACAGCCACTGTTATTTTTTTACGTGCGACTCAATTCTCTCCCCCCCCCCCGAAAGTTGAGATATGACGAATACAACATTGGTTTCTTGAACACTGAAGGATTTTAAGATATTGCAGAAGGTTCCAAGCAAGGATGCCTCGGGGAGTAGGGATAAATTTGGCTGGAAGGTTGTTTAACATGCTTTGGCATTTGAAGACCATCTTTGAAGACCATCATGGCTCTGTATTGCTCATCTTACTCCTATAAGTGAACTGGGCGTCTTACCAGGATTCTGTGTAGGAGAGACTCCAAGTGTGGGGCGAATTGTGAGTCAATTCTGAATCTTTTTTTTTTTTCTATCTTGGGTTTTGTTGCAGGTTGTTTTTGACAGCAGAATTAGAGTGGAGTTGAGATTCCTTGCTGAGGTAAGCCACAATTAGAAGTCCCACATGACTGATAGAGGTGCGGCAGAGGGTTAAATCCATGGACTGTATGAACAAAGTATTCCCCCAGGCATTAAAACTGTTGTATTCTGCTGTTGTCAAAGGCCTTTGAATACCATGTCCAAAGTGTCTATAACTTTGGGTATTACCCCTTACCCAAACATAGTCTGTTTCTGTAATCGGCCACAGCAAAGAGAGAATAACTTGAAATTAATTTTTTTCTTGTGGCTTGGATTTCCCAGTTGATTGTGGCTGGAGTGTTCACGGAGAAGGAGGGCCTACCGCCCCTGAACAACCTGCTGTCCTCGGTCCTGAAGGCGGACAAGGAAAGCCACGCCCACATCTCCATCATCATCAGCTTCCTGAAGCACTGCGGGGAGGACTTCGCCGGGCTGGTGCCCCGCAGAAACAGGTGGGTTCCCCCTCACACAGACCCCAACACCAAACACTGCTTAAGTTGAGTTGGCTAGAGGCTTGAGGCTTGTCTTGAAATCGGCCAAAAGTAGTGGGGAACTGGAGTGAAGTTTAACCATCCCCCCAAAGGGGTGCTGCAGGATGACGGCCCCTTGAGGATGGGACTTGATGCCCCATGAACAAGGGTAAGATCTGTGGGGGGAATATCCCTCCCCCCTCTTTTTTTGATGGGGGGGGATGTAAAACGTGCACCACTGTAACAGATAGCACCAATTCCTTGACTTGGACTTGCTTGCCACATTTGTTGCTTCATAACTCAGGCTCTTGGCAGAGAAGTTCAATCTGACCCTCCCCTCCAGCGAGATCTTTTCTGCCCAGCGGAAGGGCGCCTACAAGTCTCTCCTGAAAGACCACTACCTGTCGCTGACCAAGCACCTGCTGAAGGAACACAGGGACCTGCAGAACGTAGAGAGACACAACCGACGCACGCTTCAGGTGGGCTGGAAAACGAGACGTGAAATTCACTTCAGGGTTCAAACAAGTCCAGGAAGTCTCAAATGAAATTCGGATTCTGGATTGCAAATACTTTGCCTGACTTATGCTTGGAGTCTCTGAGAGTGATCTTTCCTGTTTTGCAGACCAAAGGAGAACTGAGCGAAGAGAGAAGGAAGCGATATGAGGAGATGCAGGCCTCCTATCAGAAACTGCTAGTCAATACCTCCACCTACGCAGTGAGTACCCCTGAGGAAGAACCGAGCAGATCTTGCTTAGTTCTTGTGATTCCATGTGTAGAACTGAAGCAGGTAGACTCAACAGGGTATCAAGTCTAAATTTGCTTAGCCATCGTCTGTGAGGGTTTAGGTGCAACGTGTGTAGAGCAGTCAGAGATCAAAGAAAGTGTTCTGCCCAAACCGACCAAAGAATTACTGGTACCGTTGAGAAAGTGTTTTCATCAACCAACGACCGCCTAACGATGTAGTTAGATGGCCAGTCAAGTGAAGGTGTTGAAATTCAAGCAAAGGCGTCAGCAACGTACTGCCGTAAGACTGTTGCAAAGTTGAATAATAACACTGTATTTTAAGTCACAAGTAGTTGTCACTGAAAAGAAACCCACAATTTACATTTAGTTTACAAAATCTGACAGGAAACGGGAAATTGAAAGTCCAACAGGAAATTACAGTTTAGTTTGTGGAGGAAATGTGGAACCAAATTTACATTTTACCTTTTTCATGTATATGACACACAGTTCCTTGAGCTGGTATATTTTTTGTACAGATTCAACACAATGTTCTCATAATTTTTATAAAGTGAGCATCCTAATTAATGCATGATTATCTTGTCTTTACCCAGGATCTTATCGACGAGGTTGTACCAGATCTACCAGAAGCAGGTAAGTTTGAACCCGTCAAGCCTTGATTGCCATCCACAATCTACAGCAGTAGGTACAATGTTGAAGGGCCTTTATTTGCACGTACTTTTTGCTGTTACGCCCAGCTTTTGTGCAATTGACGTCTTTTCACAATAGCGGCACCCCCGTATAAGTCTAATCTAGTTACCAAATTCTTGACAGACATGATAACAACGAAAGTAATAAATTATGCCCCGCTTTGATACTGTGGGGAAAAATTCACAAAGACTTATGGACATACGGTGACATCCTTGGACTCTGAAACAGCATGTCTATTGAAACCCTGTTAATCTTTGCGGATCAGCCTGTTTTACTTAACTGACTCTCCCACAAGATTGCACTACTGTGGCCTCCAAGGCTTCTAGGACCAAAACCATCAGGAGACATTAATTTGGCAATTAAATGTGGATGTCCCCCAAGGGTATTGACAATTACTAAACCGAATACCTTTCAATAATATTACAGTTCTTATATTGCATTGTATTGATTACACGAAGCAATGCAGTGTACCATCTAAGCTGCAAGGACTGACATTTCTTCCGCCCTCCTTAGAAATAACACAAGAGGAGCGTGACATGATGGCGCTGGATTACCTCGGCAGCGATAAATCGGGGGCGGAGTTTGACTTTGACACGTCTCTGTGGGAGGACGAAGACACAAGAACGTTCCACGAGAACTTGATTGACCTGCGTACAATGGTCCCAGGGGTAAGTTAGTAAAAAAACCTCCCCAGCAAATGTTGTCCTTTAACTGTTGAATTTTTATTAAAAAAAAGTTTGTTAGTGGCAGATTTTCAATACAGAGATTGATATACTGGATTTGATGCATTATCAGGAATTAAGCAAAGTACCATTCATAAACACTCATCTCATTTGTAGTTTTTGTTTTGAGGCACATGGTCTTATTTTGAATGGGTCAAGGATTTCAACGAGACTTTAATATTTGTGGGTTGTGCACCTTTGAAGACGATAGGCTAACTTGAAATAACTATTTGGACATGAACCGTATTCACAGTCTTTATTTCGTTTGTAAAGATTCTGTTCAAAGATAGTGAAAAGAAGGCATCGCCTGACGAGAAACAGGAAGATCTGGACAAACTTGGAGAAGGTAACTTGCAAAATTGGCTGTAGGGATTGCTTTTGACATCAAAACTTGCATCTTGGCTCAAACAAAAAAATACCGATCTGCTGGCCACATAACATGAGTCACTCTCGCGTGTCTTGCTAATGGCGTGTGGACCAACCCAGGGGCAAAGTGATTGCTCAAGCAATTAGTTTCAAAGAAGCTGTTGACACACTGGCAGTGTAATGCCCATCCCTTCCGAGTGCCTCTGTTGAAACCTGTGACAGGCTTTCATAGGTGGCACTGGAACCCCTAACCTCCCGACCAGCGCAGACTGCTCAACCACGGAGCTGGTCAATTTGTCAAGCCCTAGTATAATCGGAAGAGAAGAGTCATTCATGAAAATGAAAGGAGAGATGAAATCAAAACTCCCCTGTAGATATCGTAGCCCTTGAGAAGACGGAAGGGGCAGAGATTGTATCAAAGGAGGAGGCGGAAGCGGCTGAGATGGCACCGAGGGAGGAGCCAGAGGGCGCTACCACAGAGGAAGACATTTCAGTGGAGGATGTGGAGACCACCTCAGCCTTGGAGCCTGAACAGGAAGGTAATAGGATAGTTAATCAAAATAGAAGCAGGTTGCACAGAGTGCTTAAAAAAATCAAAGCACTTTCCATTATTGTTACCCCTGCTGACTGGGCCCATGAATCAAGCCAACTACCATCTCAGCTCTCTTGGGAGTACACAGCTCCATGCTGCCATTTCAGCGCAAAGCAGCTAAATTAGGTGGGCGAGATTTTGAAGATTGACACAAAACCTGAGGAGTATGCTCGTGACTCAACCAAACAAAATGGGTAGCGAGTCACCTCAACCCTCTCTGAGGTTGCAGCCTGTAAAGAATTTTTTGTGCACAATCTAAATCAGCAGGAATCCGTGCCTTTTTTTCGCCCACCACGATTTCCAGTTTTGTGGAGATTCCAAACTGAGACACGTCAAAACAAATCTAAATAGATTGTCTTGGCTTTTAATGAAAACTAAAACAGAATTACTGAAAGATGTGGCCGCAAGACTCGTCTTATGGGATACGGCCACTTACCTGAAAACCTGTTCCTAACATTAATGTTCCCATTTTAAGTGAGATTGACGTGCCATTGATATTTGCTGGCGTGCCATCCTTCAGATACTGAAGAGGAGGAGGAAGAGGCAGAGCAAGTGACCAACATGAGCAAGAAGATGCTCCTGGATGCCTACCTACAGCGCCTCCCTCAGTGTGTCAACAGGGACTTCATCGACAAGGCCTGTGCATCTCCCAACATCTTCACCCTTCCTACAAGACCCCAACCCTCTTTAGAAGAATTGTCTATCTCGTCCAAAAATTTCCCCTTCGAATTGCTTAAATTGAAAAACAAAGATTTTAAAATCAGTTTGAAGTCCCGTAGATGTTTTTAATTCCTTTTTTTGGCAGAGATCAGGTCCTCAAGAGTGAATAAATCCACCCTTTTTAAGTCACAGGCCATCCTGTGCTGCAACGGTTTTCAAGTTTCATATGCGTGTAATAAGTCTTATTCAAAGAAAATGAGATATTCCAATTGACACTTCATCTTTGACTCTGATTTCATCCAACAGTGGGTCAGTCCACCGTTCAGCTGAAAATAATGAAGCCAACCAACCGAGCAGTTGACCGATCGGCAGTCCATGTCATCAGTTAATTGGTTTTTTTTTTTAACCCCCACAGGCTGCCATTGAGTTCTGCATGGACCTGAACACCAAGATTAACCGCCGTAAGCTCATCAAGACTCTCTTCAATGTACCCAGAACCAGGTATATAAGCAGCCGGCGGTGCATGCTTCCTGTGCTGTGCTCTCACACTCTGACAGAGTCCTCAAGTTTAATTCAGAAAGTGTGTTTTCTGTCCAACTGTAGTCTTTATTTTACCCGCATATTTTTGTTCTCAAATTGCCAATGGCCATTTGCGCATACATCGAAAATCGATTGTCGGTCATGCTTTCGGAAAAAATTTGGTGTCGTGCCAGGAGAAATTGCATATTTTGCTATCCAGACTCGTGCCTCAAAATTCGTGAGAGTCTTGTCCTGATAACCTGAATTGTTTTACACTGAGAAAAACTTGGCAAAGAGAGCATGGAAGGTATTTTTAGCAAGTAAAAGAAGAGTTGAAAACCAAATGAAAGTATTTGTGGCTGTTGTTTATTTCAAAAGTGCGCCCACAAACATTTAGATTCGTCCAATTCGCTTGTACTTGAAACCGTTCGTTTCAATTTCAACTCCTTTTCATTTCTTATTTATATTTCACATTTCGGGGTAAATTTCTTGGTTTTTTTCAAGATTGGACCTGTTGCCTTTCTACTCTCGCCTTGTGGCCACTCTCTATCCTTGCATGCCTGACATTGGCACAGAACTTGTGGAGAAACTCAAGGCTGACTTCAGATGGCATGTGAGTCTTGGCATTTGTTCACAAAGTACCCCTTTTTTCTGATGTCTAAATTTCTTTTACTAACAATTACTGTGCTGCTTTTATATGGTTGGAAGTTTTTTTCACACTTTTATAGAAATCATGACTTTTTTAGCTTCTCTCTTCGAGGCCAAATTGAAAGAAATTTTAAATGCATGGATTTCTTAGTAATGTTAAAAATGTTTTGTGGGGTGAATCTTTCAGGCCTTGATCTCAAAGAATTTTATAGCCGAGTTTCCAGTTGTTCTGTGTGCTTGAAAGCTTTATCAACTTCACTAGGAGTAGTAATTTGTGATTGGTTTTTTTTTAATACTTGAAAGTGCTTTTTTTCATATTGTTCTTCAGGTGAGGAAAAAAGACCAAATGATGATTGAGACAAAAATCAAAACTGTTCGGTTTATCGGTGAGTAAATATAAAGGCTTGTTTCATGTCTTGCTGTTGTCACAGAAGTACTAAGAAGATTTATCGTGCTAAGCAGTAACCAGCCGGAAGTCAGTTACAATTAGTGTCACTTGCGATCTGGCTGATAACCTGAATTACTAAGCAACATATATTTCTGTGTGTAGTCAATCAATCTGCTTAGCACTTCCATGAAAATGGCCCGTTTTGTCCAGGGGTTCATGCTTTCTATATTTTTGTACAATCCCTTTGTCCTTGTCTGTCCTTAGGGGAGCTGACTAAATTCAAGATTTGCTCCAAGTCAGACACATTGCAGTGTGTTAAGGTGAGTCTGGTACCTTGAATCCATTAACACTAGCAGTCAGGTCGAAGGGCAGACACTGCTGTGGTCTTTGGATAGAGTTCCTTTAATGTGAGCATGTTTTACATAGATGCCAATGTTTAGAAATACAAAGGGATATTGAAAGATCATCCAGAACTAATTTTTCATGTATTTTCGTGAAGGGAAAGATTCAGAAGGAAGAAATTCCACAACAAAATGTCCAAATTGAGTGTGATGGCAAACCTACTCTAGCTACACATCACAACTTCAGACCTGCAGAGGGTCGTTTTATAAAATTACTCTGATGCACCTTTTCTTTGGCCAGTTCCTGCTGCAAGACTTCCGGCATCACAACATTGACATGGTATGCAACCTGCTGGACAGCTGCGGGCGGTTCCTGTACCGGTCCTCGGACTCCCATCTCCTGACCAAGGCACTGCTGGTGAGTGTACCTCAGGAATTTTCACAGGACACTTTGCTAGAGCGATAATGTGTGAGTTTCATGCTGCATTCTTCCATGTGGATTGAACCATTGTGTGATACCAAAGCTAAGAGG